ATAAACCAGAAGATTATTATTACATCTATGAAAATTATCAATTATCTCAACAATGAGAGAAATATTTCGATACATTTAACTATTTATTTTGTTGTATGTAATTAACAAAAACTTTCTTACTTATTCATTTAAAAATAATATATTGTGTTGTTTTAATAAATATTTAATTGGGCTAACCAAATTTTGATTAGAATATAATTTTTTTTTCATAAAAAAGTAAGAAAGTTCTTGTTAATCACATATCAACAGAATAAATGATTAAAATTTCTCTCAATAAATTAGAATATATACGGAGAAATATGTTTAATTGAAATAACTAGAATTTTGGGATGAAAAATGAACGATTTAAAATTCTAGTAGATTTAAACAGAAATTTAGTAGACATAATTATAATATTTATGCTTAGTAATTCTGGATCTCGTTCATTTTCTAGAATTTCAATTAATTCAACCAAACATTTTTTTCTCTGCGTTATATTAGATATAATCAGAAAATTTTGTCCATTTTCAACCAGAATTTCAATCGATATCCAATCAGACATTTTTCTCGGTGCGGTCTTTGGTTCATGATTACATTACGGACACGTGCAAACGAATCCCGCAGAAAACTTGAGAAAGAGAAAGAGAGTCGGTTTCGCCCGATGGCGGTGCCCGCACAAGACTCACGGAAATCTTGCGAAAGCTTCGAGCAGGTTGGGTATTACGCGCGCAAACTCGCTCGCTCGCGTTATGTAAATGATAACGCGCAACTTCCTCAATAACGATTAAGAAATACGAGCGGTTCCTACCGGGCTGGTTTACGTAAACGTTTCCGCAGTGGCACAGTCTTACAGATTCCATCAATCTGTCGCTAAGTGACGTGCTTTCGTCTTTACCTCGCTCAGACTTTGTTCCTTCCGCCAGAAGTCGCTTAAGGGCCCATTGAAAGCGGAAACATTTTTTGAACGATAGGATCGTGTTTGAATTGATCGTATTTCGATCCGTTTCATCAGACATTGAATGTTTGAATGTCGGTTCATTTCCGAGTATATACGCAAGTATATACTCGGAGCACTTTAATTTTCACAGGAACTAGTAAGTAAACGTTATACAATCTCGCTTGCGTAACAAGCTGAGAAAGATATCGTAACATCTATTTATATCTAATAAATAACAATACGAAAATGAGGCCTGCCTAATTTTGTCTTAGCTATCTTTTGAAGCTGTTTACATTTATTCATGAACCGTTTAAATTTATACACACACACATACAACACAATATATTATATATATATATATATATGATTCATCGTGAAGAATATTGCACTAGGAAGTAACGTAGTTACTTCACCAAAGTAGTTTGGTATCTTAAAAGTAGGCTAAACGCCTTAATTTATCGTAGTATGTTAAATATAATTGTACCTTACGTAATTATGCTTAATTATAAACGTTAGCATCAAATGGCAGCCGTTTAGAATTACACCAAGGTATGCTAATAGTCTATAATTAGCATTTTAGAGTTCACCTTCGTGTGATAAGATAAAAAATTGCTGTAAAATTATATACATGTAACTGTTATTATTACCATGTCCTCTTATTTTATTCATATTATTATATCTATTCGTCTTTCCACATATGGATTTGAAAAAAAGTTAGATTGTGTGATATAATTTTGGGAGCGATCGAAAGATTAGTTTCTTGCGATGACGAAAGCGATAATAACATTACATAAAAATGTCTCTTTTAATTACTTTGAACCAGATAAATATATGTCTTATAAATTTTTAGATATTGAAAACAAGTTAGATTTCTAGCACGTCAGGTTTCTGAAATAAATGAGCTTTAATATGCAAAAAAAAACTTTTTTGTGATATTTGATATTTTTTGTAAAAAAAAAAGTAAACGTTAGATTGAAATTCTGATCAAAAGTTATGAATGTATTGTTCGACTTTGAAGAAAAACCTTGTATCTAAATCCTTCATAAAATGACTAAAAAGATATTTGAAATAAAAAGAAATCTCTTTATAGGGAACAATACATTAACACGACTTTTAATTGTAATTTCAAAATAACGTTAACCTTATTTACAAAAAAATGTCAAATATATCGTTAAAGAAACTATTTTTTAGACATTTATCTTGGAAACCTCGATTGTCTTGAAAATCTGACGTGCTGGAATTTTTTGGCTTGCGGTATCGTTTCCAGAATTCAAAAATCTATGTAAAAAAACACCTAGTCCGATTCGAAATAATTTTTTGTTGCAAACTAGTGTAATCGGATCCATCAATTTGACGATTACGTCGAGTATTCGAGTATAACCCGTTCGCGTTCCGCGTTCGAAGACAACGCGCTTATTTATTCGTCGCGATGTCCCGCGCATCCGCGAGATGAGGTTGACGTCAGCAGCTAGTGTTAATTAAATTCCGCACGACCGGTTATTAACATCGCCGAGCGGATTAAAAGCGAGGCCGGGCTTTCAGCGGATTTCCGGGTTTCGCGCGTCGCGGCGCGCCGCACCGGAATTAACTCCTCTTGCTCGGATACGGTAACGAGCCGCGTTTTTCGCTCTGCTCCGCATCTTTCGAGCCTGGCAACGAGGAGAACCGAGAATGAAAATGGACCGGACTCCGTCGAGTGGCTATGACCTTTCGCTTATGAGAGCTCGACGGTCGCCAACGGACACGGCGAGACGCGAGAAATAAATCACAGGATTACGATGAAAAATATTGGCAATTTTTCCGAAAGAATTACTGTCAAATTAGGAAAGATAAAATAAAATAATTGGTTACAATTAAAGACTTCGATATACAAAGCTGAATATTGTTGGTGCTATAACTGAATGTAAATCTTTCTTTCGCGAAGTAATTTTATCGATTATAGGTTCTTGTTATTAATAACACTGGATTTAAAATCATTGACTCCAGTTTAGCGTCCGCGAATACGAATAAAAAATAAGAGTAGCTAAGAGCACGTAAAACATAATTGGTTTAAAACTATGGCTATAAAAACGCGTTTTTGCGTCCAGTGCATTTTTAGGCGTGATATTTTGTGCTTAAAGTGTAATATTTGGCGAGTGTCAAAAATGGTTGCGTTCAGCAGAAAAAAATGCTGCTTTGCAATTGTTGTAAGATTCATCAATATGATTGCGTTGTGGATTTAAAGCTGCACTGTTAGATATCAAAAGAACAATGGTAACCCAGTCCCTTGAGTTAAATAACATTTTGTTATTTTTAACTTCCATGTGTGTCAAAATATAAATCAATACATTCTGTGGATTCAAAGTAAACGATATTCATATTGATGCATGCATTTAATTAATAATCAATGAAATTTGATACATATTTTTAACTTAATCTGTTTAACTCCATTGTTTTAGTTAAATTAATATCATATTGTAAGAGCAGTGGCGATCTATAAAAATGATAAAAAATGACTCAAATTGACAATACAAATCTGTTTTTATAGTTGAACTAATATACACTCTTGAAACTTAAAAAATAGAGTAGATATATATTTAATATTTGTCAAAAGCGAGAAAAAGTTTTGGTGCAGGATAAAAACCTTATATGAATTTTTTTAAAAGAGCAGTAGAATTAGAAGCATAGAATTAGAAGCAGGAAATAATTATATTAAAGAATCGTACAACAGTTGTGAAAAGTTGATTTTTTTGCTGAATGCAGCCAATGTCATTTACAGGCGCAGCAAGCATCGAGACAGAGATTAAAAATTAAAAGTAATTAATTAAAAGTGCGAAATTAGAGTTAGACTTTATTCAGTTTTTAAAACAGTTCAAATCGAGCTCTATCAAGTTTCATCCATCGCGTGATTTTCGTTGAATCTTGCTCAAATGAGTTCCGCGAAATGGATTCGTAAAACATCAATTCCGGATTCCGGAAGACGAGAAATGCCGACTGTTTCCACGAAACATAGCAGTGACAGCAGGGATTTGTTTACAATCGAGGAGGAATCGGAACTATACAGGAAGAAGCATCGAGTGCGACGTACGCACGCGCACGTCCAACTGTACACAACAAACAAACAACACACACACGCGCGCGCGCACACACACCACACACACATACACACACACACACACACACACACACACACGCGCGCAGGTACCGGGAAATTTATTCGTCGAATACGAGTAAAATATCCGTGGGCGAACAATTACCTTGATCGCTGCTTCTGCTTCGTCGTCGTCGGTTCCCCCAGCTGTCGATAAAAATCCTTTGCCGGGAACGAGAGCTGCTGGAGCTAATTATCACTTGTCGTCGTAGTCCAACCAGACACAAACCATTCCACCGTTCATCGGATAAATTTCGTCGCGCTCCTCGTGGTGTGCGACATGCACGCATGCACGCATGCACGCACGGCACGCACGCACGCACGCACGCACGGGGACGGCACGCGGCGCGCGTAATCAGGTCGCGGCGGGCGGCATCCGTGCGCGCGACACCGAAAGAGAAAGAGAGAGAGAGAGAGAGAGAAAGAGATTATCCCGCGAGGAAACTTTTCGCCGCGGCACACGTGAACACGTGATAGGGATTACAATCCCGTTTATCAGCCGCGGATGGCCGTGCTCGTTACGTTATCACAGATGAGAACGACAAAGAATCCTCCGGTCATTAAGCACTCCCGGCTTAGCGCACTTGTGTCACTTGTGATTGTCTCTGCCTCCTCGCAGGCCACTCTTCGTACTCCGATTGTTTCCTCCGGTCTCCACGACAGGGCACAACGGGGGAAAGAAAGACGACGCGGTACGTAACGCGAGGGCGAGTGCGATCACCCTCGTCGTTGAATAGCAACGCGCGCGGAGGTTGCGGATGCGACTGCGGAACAGACTTCGTATCTTACGTACTATCACCTTACGAGGTCGGCGAGCGACTGATCCGACAGCCGCTGTAGGAAGTGTCGAGTGAAGGTTGCCGCCAGACGCGCGACACCCCACCTCGCCTCTCCCGGCGCCCACCCGCTGCGCCGTGATGGTGCGCGAGCGAGACAACGTCAGAACAAGTGAACCGCGCGACGACTATTGGCGGCTCACGTCGTCCAATCGCGCGCCGCCATTGGCATCGCGCCAGCGCCAGCGGAAATAATCGAACCGTAGTCATGGCGGGTTGAGTGGGGAGGATCGCCGCCAAGTCGCAACGTATCGGAGGAGAAAGAGAGAAACAAGAAGAGAGAGAGGGAGAGAAGATCCCCGACCGACTTCCTCGTAGCTTCCTCGTAATCGCGATCGTGATTGTCGTCGAGTTAACCCCGGCCGATCGTTTCCACTTGCGCGAAACGTAGAACAACGCGATGTAAGTAACAGGCGGCCACGAGCTGCAATGACTTTTCATTTCCGTCCTCCTCACCCGGTTCCGAGGAATTCACTTGCGTGAACTTTGCAGCTCTCCCGCGCCGCGAACGATCCGCGGACACGTTCACACTTCACGCTGAGATTCAAACGATACGCCGTTATGTTAGTCGTTAGCGCCACTTGACTTCCACGAAAAGTTCAAAATGGTCGCCGTTGATCACATCGATGTTCGATTTCGCACCGAATTTTTACTCGTGGGCGGCCATATACTTCACGGATAAATCGATTTTCTCTGTTAGATACACGGTAAGATAAATATTTGATATACAATAGCGTATGTTTTCGTAGCTGTTCTATTAGCCAATATTTCAACTCTCTAACCGCATTCGAGAGTTCCGACCAAAATGGCGAAATACACTTGGAAAATTGTGGTCTTATAATGACTGCGTTTCGTAAAGCGTAATGCGCATGATGTATTATTTTGTCCTTGTTTAACATTCGAAAACACAACAATGATAAAATAATACATCATATGCATCATTCTCTTTACGGAAAGTACCCAAGTAGTTAGTTCGCGTTGCTTGAAATCTTCAAATATTTTTGGACTTAAAATGAGATAGATACATATTTGAACTTTAAAAAGAGAGAAAGCGAAGATGCTGAATGCAAGCAACGCGAACAGATTGGTCTTACGTTTTAGTATGACGGGGAAATTTTTTAAGTAATTTTTAAAAGTACAATGAAAGAAAAATCTACAGGTTGTATTAATTGGAATTCTGTTTGAAAATGGATAAGTAAGAATTTTCTGGTTGAATCTATTAAGAATGCGTTTCGATATTCATTACCAGTGCTAAAAATCTGTAATAACATAAATTTTCAGGATAACGCAGCTTAGGATTCCAGCTGTCCATGAACAGATTGAAAGAAGTTGGGAAATTGGGAAAAGCAAACTGGAAATCCATCAAACTGGAATTCCAGTAAACTGAAATTATCAGCAATATAAAGGAGGAGGATACCAAAAGGTTTGCTCTTTATTATCTTTACTTAAAATTTCAGAGTCTTCTGATAATGTTTCTATTATCTCATCTATTGTCTAGAAACGAAAAATTTTTTGTTAATAGTGCATTATCAGGCACACTTTTTGTTCAGTGTTAGTTAGATAAATCGACGTGTATTTATATGTATCTATGTTCAGATATTTACACAAAAATTATTATTAATCTCAAAAATGCTTTTTGTACTATAATATTATAATTATATTTAGAGATTACAATTAAAAATTATATTATATTTAAAAAAGTATGTGATTAATAATATAGACAAATGAAATTTTGTAAAAGTAAATGTCCGGATATAGGTACGTCTAATAAAGTATATAAACTTGGATGTTACTTTACTGTGTATATTTAGAAAATTTTCGGAATCTTGTAATGTCAAGACTTTTGTTGTATTTTTTTAGTTACTTTAAGTATAAATCTTTTTTTAGATATAAATTTCTTAAGATAAATAATAGACATTACACTTATGCGTGCATTAAAGAAACGAATTTTTGGTGATAAAGATCTTTTTCAGTTTAAAATATTTTCGACATTGAGATAAACTGTAAGCATATTCGATCTTTTGCAAGTGCATTGCTTATCTTGATTATCTTGCTTTTTATTATGTATCGTTATCACGTATATTTAATTAATTATATTTTACCGTATCCAGTTAGCCGTAAATAAGTTTGTACTCGTAATCAATATATCGATTCTCATAATATCATAAAGGAAAATCGATGTAGATATCATTCTTCGCTCGCGCGCGGTTGTGTTAATGTTATATAATAAAAAATTAAATTTGCTAATTAATTGCGAGATAAGACGCGAATAGGAGGTAATCGAGTCTAATCGAATGATAACGCATTGCTACGTCAATTGTGTCCTATTCTACGGAATGATATAAATCTTGTTATTAAATGGATAACATCGGAATTTCCATCGCGAAAGATGAGAAAATAAAATTAATTTTTTGCTAGAAAAGACAAATTGGCGACCCGATTTTTTAATTAAATTATTAATTATCTATATGCAGTTCTACTTCTTATATAAATGGAGAATAATCTCGAAATGCAGATCATCGGAGTTTTAACCGATAATGAAAAACGATCACCGTATCGATAAGAAAACCACAAATGCAAATATCGTCGCGAATATTTAACTCCGTGCGATAAAAAAACAGATCAGGTATTCATTTCATAAAATAAAAGAACTTTTAAATATTTTACGAATTATTCATTATCGTGAAAAATGTTTATTATTTATCATCTTAAATGGTACATAACTTAAGTTTTTTTTTTTTTTTTAATACGACAATCATATTTTTTGCGCTCAAACGTTCTCGACTTCTTTGCTTTTTCTGTTATTTATCGCGGTATGCAAAAGCCCGATCGGCAACCGGTTATTTCACGAATTCGTTCGTCCGTTTGCGATACAGCGAAACGCGTCGCACTTCGAACTCGTGAAAAAAAAAGAATAGCATCGAATCGCGGGGGGAAAATGCTTGTTAAGACAACACTCGTGGAGAGGCGGAGATATGGGAGGGAGAAATAAGCGAAAGATAACATAAACGAGATATAAAAATTTTAAACCGGTCGAAATGTTCGCTATCTACAACGAAATATGAAGTAAAGCTGCGTTCGGTCAGAACGACTAGTGGATAATAATAAAAGTAATCGAGAGGGAAAATATTCATAAACTGTGAATCATATATATATTTTAAAAAGTTATTCGCTTTGATATATTTCAACCGCGCTGTTGTTGATCTGACCGAACTCATTAATCCGCTATAATCTCTCGAACAAACAAGTCTTTCTTCCTCCTGCTTCTCTCCTCCCTTCAACATAATGATCTCACTCTGCTGCTGTTTTCTCGCTTATCTTAATTGTGGTAATGCGAAAAGCACCACAATACACTGCCACGCGCGACACACATGGTTTGATTTGAGATACTTATTTCCTCTTTATTGTATTTTATTATCATGACAGATAAAAATCGTCGCATGATTCATATCGGGGAACGAGATTTCTCGATGAGCTTGGAGTGGCTTCTTCCTTGATTAATATCTCAGGATATCAATATACATTTTGGAGCACTGAATTATGATCGCAAATGAAATGTACGTATTTTATAAACTTGCTTTCGAAAGTAAAAAAACGTATTATATTTATCGAAATGGACTTTATTTTCGTACGAAAACGAGATGATATCTCGTTGCGACATGCAACCACATATTAGCTGTCATTTAATCTGCAGTAAACCCTGACCTTGCCAAGATAACAAGCCTAATTTTCGAGCGTATGTCATTGGTCGTGCATATCTCTCGCTTGTTTCTCGATTTTCTTCTATCTTTTTTATTCTTTATCGAAAAGTATTTAACAAGAGGAGGCGCGACTTATAATTAGACAAGCTGAAAGTTTTAATTCGTACATAAACGCCTTAAAATGATTGAGGAAAAGCTATTTCTAAATTAAAATATCGTTCTTTTCAATATGTCTGAAATATTAGACATAATAATATATGCATAATAATATTATATATGCAAATTTCAATATTTTCGACGCGCAAAGATAACTTCTTATATGCGTCCTATACAATATGCGGAGTAAGTGGTATAAGAAGTAAAAGTAAAAAATTGACAAATCACAATCGATTATCCTTCTTATTTGACTGGTTATTGGTCGATTTTTTAGGACCACTTCGACTCAGTCCGTTTAACTTTAATCGACGGTTAGTCCATTGGAATTGCATCTGTTGTTAAGCGAAATAACAAATATGATTGGTCGATTCTAATGGATTAATCGTCGATCAAAAAATAGTCGAAGTAGGCTGTAATCACACTACAGGTGGTTGATTCTATTTTAGCCAATCATGATGCAGCGAGTGCAGGTTAGCTGCAATATGATTGGTGAAAATAGAATCGACAATCGGCAATCTGTATAATTACGGCTTTACTCTTCTTACACCAAGCTTACTCCACACATTGCTGTTGATACATTAAATTAATTGCTTACATGTCGACTATTGTTTTGCTTAAAATATTTTCCAAAGTTCAATAGGCTATACCAATGGCTACTATAATGGACTTATGCTTCACAATTTTTTAATTTACTGTTTTCAATAGTTTGTTATCATTCGTATCTGTTTCAAAACTAGACAAAAATGGAAATCTGTAACATTTATTTTTGTTTTTAATTGGTTATTCTATTTTTACGGATCACGATCACCAGGTCGCGAATTTTATTTGCACTTTAGTGATACGGGGGAAAAGTTAAATAAACCATCGTGTTTTTGAAATTACCGTATTTTTTTGCAAAAAGAAAATATCATCTATGTAAATGTTTCAAAAATATATTATGCTTCAAATTTTTATGCTTCCATGTATAAGTGCGAAGGTACATTAAGAGAGATCGTCATCGTGAAGAGATGGTTAAAAACATCCGTAGCCACGCCGATCCATAGCCGATGCGCCAAGATATTCCAGGAAAAAAAGCATTGGACACTGGGCCATAGAATTGGTTGGTGTTATAAGATGGAGCTCAAGAATATAACAGGAAAAACTGGTTTGTGTTCTTCTTATAAGAGCTACCTGTACCGGGGTCTCTCTTCTCGACAACTTTGCTTCCATTCGGAATCCGGTCTACTTATCTTTTCTTCCCTTCGGTATTCTTGCTTCCTTTCCGCTCCCTTGACGACCGCCCACTATAATTCTCAATTCGGAAGGGACGAAAAGAGGAACCTCGAAAGCGAAGAGGAGAACGAAAGAATGGAGAATATATCTATACAAATACGTCTGCACCCACGCAGAGCGTGTTTCTTTCGCACGCGTGTTTACACGAGTGCAAAGGGATTTCCTCGAAGAATATGCACTTTATTTTAAAGCTCAATACGTTCGTAGGAGCGATAAAAGTAAAAAGCATTGAAGATTCATCAAAGTTTTTGAACTTAATATAGTTTCCGAAGAGTGCGCACTAAATTTACTAGAAAAGTTATTAGAAAAAAACTGCGATGAAGATAAAAATCTTGAATTTAACGCTCATTAAACTTCCAGTTTTTCGAACATTGTACATTTAATTTTTAAAACTTTTTTATATCGAAAGGAACTTATCTTAAAACTTTTATTTTAATAAGAGTACCAACCTATTCATTTTATCGATAGAATATTAGAAATATTTTAGACATTAAAACGGTTTGAACTATATTAAAAGGAGATAATATAAAGCAGACTAATTTCTTTAATATTTTTCTTTAAATAAATTTGTTTATATTATAAAAAATTGATGTCGATGTACGTAATATGATAAATTTGTCATCTGAATTTTCTTATTATTCATAATTAATTGAAGTATATACTAGAAAAATTTTTACAAAGAATCATAAACTTTTACGATGTCATATATTTTTTACGCTTTAATACTAATAGAAGCTTGCTACAATCGTGTAGATAATGGTATCCCTTGGACTAATTATAACATGTAGAACTGGAATACGCCTAGACAGCTGGTTGACTTTTAATGGTGATCTTTTTAAGGTTCGAAAGAACACGCACTTACCACTTGTACTCCTCTTGAGTGGATTTTATCATGGTTTTCAAAGTTTAACGATAGTTTTGCTAAAGGGATTCCAACCACGCGAGAGACGCTAAACGGCATAAAATTGCTGTGCTGAAACTGAGATTTTATGATACACGAAAAATTTTTAAAGAATTAGATGTATGCAAAATAATCAAAAAAAAAAAGAAATATTTATGAGAAAAAAAGGGAGTTTGTGAATCCTGCCAAAATTATTTATTGCTTGCAATTTCCGGCTAGCTGACGATTATTTTTTGTCAAAGAATTCGAAGAATTTTTGAGAGATCTGATCTGCATATTTTTCTTTAAAAAACAGGATTCTTGTATTCAAGACATCGTGTCACGATCTTTGAAAGAAGAAAGAAGACATTAGGACAAAAGGGCAATGTCTTTAAATACTTTGAAGTCCTTCTTTTCTTTTAAGATTCTCATTTTATAAAAAATTATCTAAAATCTATTCTGTAAAACATGATGTAGAAAATATTTTCAAGACTAAAGTAAAAGAAAACGTACCGCCAGTAGAGTTGAAAAACTTCTGAAATTTTTATAATGAGCGCACTAAATATATTTTTTTATGTACATAAACAAATCCGTATTATTATATTAAAAACATATTTTTTAATGTGATATTTTCTCTATCCATTTTGTATTTTATAAAAAGTAAGATGGAATTTCACATATTCCGGTTATATCCAAAAATTCTAAATTCTAATCTTTGGGATTCTTCCTGATCTCAACGGGAAAGAACTAAGTCAGATCCCTTTTCTGGAATCGATCACGCGTATATATAAAAAGGATCCAACAAGGACCTATGAGTTCATTGTAGTTCATCATTCACGCGAAAGGAAACAGGAAAACTTAGTTCTCTATTCTTGCCGCTATACCTGCTGTTATGATTAATCACGCCTCTTACTAAGCATAAGGATGTGAAAAAATGTGCAAGATTTTTAGGTAAAGATAATGGAAACCAAAGGAAAGAACGAAGTAATGAAATGCAATGATTAACTATCTTGTTACCATCTCGTATCGAATTAGGCAACAACATATTTAACAAAGAATTCTTAGCTTATTGTTAGCAAGAAAAGAACTATCTGTCAACAAAAGCTCTGGGTGTGATTTGTTGGTACAGTCTTTTAACAATTTTTTTACTTCTATTACATCTATGTCATCATCTTTAGATATCTTCAGTCTTCTTCAAGAAGTGTCTGAATCTCAGTGTCTACTCTCATGTAAGAATATATAAGAATATCAACTTCGACGTTTGAAAACAGCGAAGAAGCCGTGTGTTTATCAAGCATGTATATTCCAAGACTTCGTTTAATCGTTACATCCACTGATGCCAGAGGCATTAAATCAAGCGGCAGATGCAAATATCTAGATATTTCGTAGCGTCTTTTCTCGCAGAAAAACATCCAATTATACAGAACAAGTAAGAAGAGAGTAAAAATTAAAATATCACCGTCTCTCATAGCAGTGCGCGATTGTTGTGCTGTATTGCTCTCGTTTGTTGTGCTGTATTGCTCTCGTTTGTTGCGACTGCCGGAGCATCGAATGTTGTCAGCGGTTTAGTAATCTGGCGGCGGCGACGCTGGCGCAATCCGGGAATTTCTCGCGCGAGGCGAAGGAAGGAAATTGCGTTGCCCAATTAGAAATCGCGGGAGACCGCAGAAAGAACGAACCGAGAAGAAGAAGAAGAAGAAGGAGAGACGGGGGAGAGAGGACTCGAGCAAATCGGGCGAGAGAGAACGGAACGGAACGAGGACGCGGCGCCTCGCGTATTTAACCCTAATCTGGCCAATCCTGTTTTTCAGCCGAAAGAAAGAACACGACGATGCTCGCTGGTATAATCATTGAACGAAAGTTGTCGTCGTAATAATAATTATATAATAGACCCGAAGATTTTCATATTCCAGATATATCAGAGATTGCATAAACTTTAGTTAAAATTCTAATTTTATTTAATTGATTTTATCAAGATTATATAATTGTAAAATTTACTTTTAACGTAATAATAATCTAGAAATTATGTGTGCGATATACTAAAATTTAATTGATAGTCTAACTCTAAAGGTCAAAAAGAAATAGACAAGAGAATATGACGACTTACGAGAGTATGACATTATCTGCTCTAATGAAACCGATCATCAAAGATGACGATAAAGCAAACGACGAGTGAGCTTAATAACTTTTCTCACACAAAAAGAAATAAAAATACCCCCGATTCTCTGTGTCGATCGGAAAACAATCTCTTCCCTCTCATCTCCCCGCGATGTATCTCGATTCTCGCGCGTGACGGAAATCACTTAGGTCGCGGTGCGGCCTCGCGGGAAGATGCGAGAGAGGAGCGTGAAAAAATATCGGAGATAATATCCGTGCGTTGATTATTATTAAACGTCGTCACTTGTCCGCGTGGATGTCGCGCTTTTTTTTCCATGAGCACGATATAAAAAGGCGGCGCGCTTGTCCCTCCGACACGTAGTAGATCGCACCGTTTCCATGAGCGACGATATAAAAAGAGTCCCTTTGCGAGTGATCCTTGCGGATGA